ATTAAAAGCAGCAAGAGGAAAATAATTCGTTACTTACAAGGGAGCACCCATATGACTGTCAGCTGATTTCTCAACAGAAATTTTGCAGGCCAGAAGGGAGTGGCAAATACTTAAAGTGATGAATAGCAACGAGTTATAGTCAAGATTAATCTACCCAGCAAAGCTAACATTTAGAATTAAAGATTAAATAAAAGTGTCCAAACCACAAGAAAAAGCTAAAGTAGTTCACTATCACCAAACTTGTATTACATGAAATGTTGAAGGGTATTCTTTAAGAAAAGGAGGAAGGAGGAGGAGGAGGAGGAGGAGGAGGAGGAGGAGGAGGAGGAGGAGGAAGAAGAAGGAAGGAAGGAAGGAAGGAAGGAAGGAAGGAAGGAAGGAAGGAAGGAAAGAGAACAACAACAAAACGGCAATAAATACAAATCTACCAACAACTGAATTGAAAAATCAAAATAAATGAACGAGGATTCTAATGAAAAAAAAATAAACTAGTGAATAATATAGAATCAGAGGCATAGAAACATGGAACAGACTGATAAATCTCAGAGGGAGGAGGTATGGGAGGTGGGAAGAGATTAGCCAAAGATCTTATTATATGCACACTAGAGACCCAGTGCACGAAATTCGTGCACGAATAGGGCCCCTAGGCCTAGCCAGAAATCAGGAGGGGTGATGGAGGGCTCCTACTGGCACCCGCCTTGAGCAGCCTGGTGCAGCCTGCTCACCAGTCCCACCCCCCACCACCACTGCTAGTTGCCTCCCTCTGCAGGTGACGGGCAATAAGAGGGCCCCCACTGGCACCTGTCTTGGCTGGCCTGGCGCTACCCACTCTCTGGCTCCGACCACCACCACCACCACTGCCAGTCACTTCCCTCTGCGGAGCAGCTGTCAGGACAGTCGGGAGGCCCCTGCTGGCACCTGCCTTGGGCGGACTGGTGGCGCCTGCTTACCCGCCCTGCCCCCCACCACCAGTTGCTTCCCTCTGTAGGGAGACTGGCAGGTGATTGGGGAGCCCCCATTGGCACCTCCTTGGCCAGCCTGGCAGTGCCTGCTCACCAACCCTTTCTCCCACTGCTGCCGCCACTGCCACCGGTTGTCTCCCTCTCTGGGGTGACCAGCAGGGCAATTGGGGGGCCCCCGCTGGCACTTGCCTTGGCTGGCCTGGGGCCTGCTGGCTGGGGGCAGCTCCTGCATTGAGCTCTGCCCCATGGTGGTTAGTACATTTCGTAGTGACCGGTTGTTCCACTGATTGTTCTGCCAGTCAGTCGATTTGCATATTAGGCTTTTATTATATAGGATATGCATTACCTATGGTCACAGACAATAGGTTGGTAAAGGCTAGGAGCCAAGTGTGAACCAGGTGGAGGAAAGCAATGAGGGGTGGGACGGAGCAGGTGGGAAGGAGGCATCTGTAATACTCAACAAAAAGATATTTCTTAAAAGAATAATTTCGTTCAGTATTTGTGCACACTCAAATTGTTGACTGTTGCCAGTTTTGTACTGTAAACTTTATATTTTATGTGTCCCCATAAAAAAGTCTAGTGGCATGTTAGAATATACTTTGTTCAAAGCTTAGTCTGGCTTCATCCATTATTCCAAATCAGTTAAACCTGAAAAGCAGTATAACATAAATGGGTTATCAGCTGTTAAAGTGTATATTCAGGGGTTTTTTGGACACATTATATTTCTGCAGCTTCAACTTCCTCACCTTCATCAGTTATCCTGTCTTCAATCTCTGAAAGCCTCCTCCTGGCAACTTCACACTGTTTCCCAGTTGTCTGACCCTTTTCTTCACAAATAGCATCTAGCGTGCCAGGTCAGAAAGCCCCTGTGCAGGGGTGTGCTCCATGGCCCTCCGGGTTCTGATGTGCACAAAGAATCCTGTCACTGGGACAGGACAGAATCCTGCTTCAGTTAGCGTTTTCTTTCTTGCTGGGTACTCCTCCTCCTGTTGCTCTAGCTGTGTTTCTTTTCATGGGGCCTTCTCTCTGCAGCATGTCTGCTGCACCACACCCCTACTGCTGGCACATCCCAAGGAGGGACTGTGCAGGAGGCAGCTGATCGATGTTTCTCTCTCATTGATGTTTCTAACTCTATCCCTTTCTCTTTCTCTTTGTAAAAAATCAATAAAATATAAGGGGGAAAAAGATAAGTAATTCATTGCAACATTGTTCTTAAAAGCAAAAACTACTTAACACAAATGTTTAGCTCTAGAGTTAGATAAAATATTATTGTATATTCCTATACTGAATATGTCTCAGTGAAAGTAAATGAACTGCATCTAAGTTCTTACGTTGGCTGCGGGAGAATGGCACCAGGAGTTAGACCGGTGGTACTTGAGTTCTGACTAGGAAAAATGCAGAGCCATTTATTTAGAAAAATCAGAGGTAGAAGAAATGGACCCTAGGAGAAATGGGTTCAGGAAACAAGTTACAGAAGCAAAAGAAGGACCCTTGCAGCTTAGGAGAGTGGAGTAAGGAGAGTGCCTGCAGGCATGGAGAAGGGAGGGAAAAGGCAGTTAGGAAGAAGAGCACACTGGCTCCTTGGTCCTAAAAGCTTCTAAGGGGGGATTTTAGGGGAGGTCCCTGAGGAGGATCTTAATACAATATTCATCAGCTCTCCAGGCGAATCCTTTCAGGGTTGTGGTTTCTGCTGATTGGTCGGCACCAGGTGTCATTAGTCACGAAGCTGAGGTCCGCTGTGGTCACTCGTTTGGTTTTGCTGCTTTTCTAGGACTGGAGCTGAAACACACTGAGGCCTAGATGTTATCTGTAGGGAGGAAAGGTCACATGACCAGTGATAAAGGAAGCTCAGTGATCCAATCGATTTCCTAGGGGAGGAAAGGTTACCCTGGGAACGAGGTCCCGCCCTACAATTGTCGGTTGTTAAAACACCTAGGCTTTTCCGCTCTGGTGACCTATTCCTGGCCCATTGTCCTTGCCCTACTCATGTCTGTCTAACTACCTACCACACATAAACATGGACGGGTCTTAGAAATAGAATGTTGAATGAAAAATCAAGTTGCAGAAGACTAAAATACATTAGGATACAATTTCCTATATAATATTTAAAAGGAAGCCAAATAGCCCAGCTGGTGTTGCTCAGTGGTTGAGCGTCAACTCATGCGTCGACCCATGAACCAGGAGGACACATGCCTGGGTTGCAGGCTCCATCCCCAGTTGAGGGCATGTAGGAGGCAGCTGATCAATGATTCTCTTTTATCATTGATGTTTCTATCTCTCTCTCTCTCACCTTTCTTTCTGAAATCAATAAAAACATTTTTTAAAGGAAAAAAAAGCAAAAAAAGGAGGACCTATGTAATAATCTTCAACAATAAAGATTAAAATAAATATTTTTAAAAAGAAGCCAATACTATAATACATGTATTGTTTAGTATATATTGTAAAATTATTTTTTTTACCGTTTCCCCAAAAATAAGACAGTGTCTTATATTAATTTTTGCTCCCAAAGATGCGCTACGTCTTATTTTCAGGGGATGTCTTATTTTTCCATGAAGAAGAATACAGTACACATTTATTGTTAAATGAAAATAAAGGAAATTTATTACCTGTATACGGTATGATAGTATGGTAGTTGTCAACACAAACCAGACAAACTGTGATTCCTACAGTATCAAGAATTTACTCATTTATTCAATGACAATCATGTCATCATCTTCTGGAACATCATCATAACAATCCAATTCCTGAATTTCCTGGTGAATTTCTTGTGACTCCATTTCTTTCAGAATCAGTGGACCAAATCTCTCATGTTTAGCCTAGGGGGGCCTTATTTTCGGGGGGATGCCTTATATTTCACTCAGAAGGAAACCTGTAAGTAGATCTTATTTTCGGAGGATGTCTTATTTTTAGGGAAACACGGTAAAATATATATTTTATTCATTTTTTTACAGAGAGGAAGGGAGAGGGATAGAGAGTTAGAAACTTCGACGAGAGAGAAACATCGATCAGCTACCTCCTGCACACCCCCTATTGGGAATGTGCCCACAACCAATGTACATGCCCTTGATCGGAATCGAACCTGGGACCTTTCAGTCCACAGACCGACACTCTATCCACTGAGCCAAACCGGTTAGGGCGGTAAAATTATTTTTAAGAAGCAATGGGAAACAAAGGATTCAGGATAGCAATTACTTTCAAATGGGGTGAAAGAGGAATGGGATTAGATTAGGGAGCACACAGGAAGTAATTTTGTTCAAGTTTTTGGGTGGTGGTCTTGAATATACATTTTCTTACTATATATATTCTTTTTTAAGAGAGAGAGTAGGCTTTCCCAATCTGCCTCCAGAAGGCAAGACTGCACCCTCCTAATCAGGTGTCCTTATGCTAGGAAAACAGAGCAGAGCGGAAAACACTGGCTTGGAGGCACGCAGGTCCCTGGGAAGACCAGAAGCAGAGGGGCGGGCGGGAGGAAACTGGGAGATGGTGGATATGTTCATCACCTTGACTTCCGTGACGGTTTCTGGGATGCATACCAAATCAAAACTCATCACACTGGACACTTTAAATACAATTTATCATACCAATTAAGCTTTTAAAATCAAAAGACGAGGAGAGGTTGGAGCCAACCTCTTCTCCCATCCAGGGATGAGCGAGGTCTGTCATCCTTCCCGTGGAGGAGTGTGGGAATGGTGGAGCCTTCCCTCGCATTCGCCATGCTCCACAGACTGTCCTCACATCCTTAAAGGAGAAGGGGGTGCATTTTGTATCTTCCCAGCTAATAAAAGTAATAAATGTTCTCCAAAAAATGTTTGATGAATTGTTCTTACACTGTTCTGAGCCCTTTTTGTAAAGGTCAGATACTATTACTTGAGTGAGTTATCTGGAATCTATCTTCAACAGTTGAGCATGTTAAGATTAAATAAATGAATATTCCTTTTTAACTTAAACATTATTTTGATCTTGCAACCTGTATGGCTTTAACGAATGCAAACATATTTGAAGTGAAGTTCTCCTGACGTTGTGATTCTTGAACACTAGATGGAGTGGTGCGCCCCATCCCCCCGAAGGAAGACGTGCACCCGCACAAGAAGCTGTGTCTCGGGAACCACTGAGGAGTCCCGTCTGCACTGGAGTGAAGACTTCAAGAATTTTCATTGCACTTTAAAAAGTCAGCCTTGTTCACTCAGACAGTAAGGATGGACTTTGTAAATAGTTGAAAAAAATTTGAGAACACTAATTTATTACTAGCGTATGAATGATGTTAATGATAGTGTTTTGAGATTTGTTTGTTTTCCAGAACATAGTACTGTGCTCTTTTGTTACACTAAATGGGGTACCGGTAATAGAGGTATAATGGGATTGATTTTCCCCCATTTGCTTTACCTTAGCCACTCTAAACAGGAGTGTGGTTCACTGGAGGTCACATCTCAGCATAGAAATGCACACCTTTTAAGAAATATTAATTCCCTTGGATTATAACTGTGACAATCAATAAACTGCTCCAAGGATATAAACGACAACCTAGCCAGTTTATTTTAAATATGTTTTTATTTATGTCAGAGGGAGGAAGGGGGAGAGAGAGAGAGAAGGATAGAAACACCAATGATCGGCTGCCTCCTGCACACCCCCTACTCAGAATCAAGCCTGCAAACCGGGCATATACCCTGACCGAGAATCCAACTGGTGACCTCTGGTTCATGGATGAACACTCAACCATTGAGCCAACCTGGTCATTAAAAACAATTTTTTAAAAATCCTCCCCCAAGGATATGCTTTCTATTGAGAGTGGAAAGGAGGTGGGGTGGAGAAAGGGAGGAGAGAGAGAGAGAGAAAGATCGATGTGGGAGAGACACTGATGTATCCAACCGAGTGTCAAACCTGTAACCTAGGTATGTGCCCTCGTGCAGAATTGAACCTACGACCCTTCAATGCGAGGGTTGACACTCAAGCACTGGGCCATGCCAGCCAGGGCCCACCTGGCCATTTTAGAGAGTCTGTGTGGATCACCAAAAGTTGACATTTATACCCAAAGCTTTCTAACAACCAGAATTTATTTAAGATTGAGTCACATAAATGAAGTTAGTGGACCTTGTCTGCATTACTAAAAGTTTATTTTATAAAGGTTATTAATTTTTCTTAAGTCTTTCATATGTAGAAATCACAGTGCTTTGTTGGACTACAGTGGTATATCACTGATTTAGGATAGCAATAGGAAAATATTATTTTGAGACTATTACTATTTGATAGCACTTACTCCTGAAATCACTAGCAATGAATCTTCGATTTGGTTATGATTTTAACAGAGAAGAAATAGTTTGGAACATTGAAACTAGCTTTTTAGAATTCTATTTATAATGATGACCATTTTCCCTCCACATAACTAACACCAGGTGTCTCATGGCTTTGAATTCAAGGCCTTTCAAAAACGTTCGCAAACCTTAAGCATACTGCAAGTCATGAAAGTACATTTATGGTCAATTCAGTTACATCATTCCAAACTGCTCTTCAGAAGTGAAACATCTCTCCCTCTCTCTCTCTCTCTCTCTCTCTCTCTCTCTCTCTCTCTCTCTCACACACACACACACACACATACACACACACACATTTTCAGAAAATTACTCCAAAGCTGAAGGTTCCCGCTTTCCACGCTCCTCCGTTACAGAGGGAGTCCAGTGGCCGTGCCCGCAGGCCGAGGCAGGCCGTCCTGAGGACCTGCTCCCGGCGATGGAGAGGTGACGGCGCTTGGCGCTGCTGTCCCTTCCTGTCTGTGACAGCACGTGGCTTCACAAGGCCTTCTGCTGGTTCCTCAGAATTGCACAGGACAATCCAAATCCTGACCAGATACCCTTGATTGTACCGAAGGCTGTTTAGTTCCACTGGGAGTTCAAAGTCATCATAGCAGGCAGTTGAGAACTATCCTAAACATTTTTACACAGGGTGCAGGCATGGAATAGCGGGGAGAGGAGGGGTGCCCTTAGAGATAACCAGTGGTTAGGCGCTTTAATATTTATCAATATGCAAAGACAGGTTTGTTTACAACTCCAGTTGCTTTCATACACTAATTTTATGCTCTTTAAAGTTTTCTCGGATTTGTTGTTTTACTAATATGTCACTCCATCAGATGTTTTATAAATTGGTCAGTAAATATTTTGTAAGACCAAAAGCCTGGAATACTGCCAGGTTTATGGATTTATTGTTGGGTGTTGGAGTGGGATGGATATCAGAAGATACATACAGATGGGAGAAACATACAAATGGGGAAAACTATGATTCCGAAATGGAAATTTGATATTTCCATAGCACTATTAAAATGCATCTTTTTCTGTGCGACCGGTCAGATTTCAGAGTTTATTGAGACTTTGCTATGTAGTACCAGAAGGGAAGCTCCATGAGGCAGGGATATAGATATATAGTTATAGATAGAGCGTTTTTTTAACTGCTGAATCCAGTGTCTACAAGAGTTCCTGGCACATAATGGGCATTCAGTATTTGTTGAGTAATCAAATGACTGCTGGACGCTGGCCAGACCCTGGTGATGTGTAAGAAATTCTCCCTGATCTCAAGAAACTCACAGTCTAGTGAAAGACACAAATATGTTATCAAGTCGTAGAGAACAATTCTCAGAATGTGGTCCCTGCCCCAGCAGGTTGGCATCCCATGGGGACTTGTTAGGAGTGCACCTTCTCAGGGCTCATCCAGACCTTAAATCAGACACACTCTGGGGGCGGGGCCTCGCTGGGGGTGGGGCCAGGCCCTCCAGGTGGTAATGATGAGCTTCCGGGTTGAGAACCTCCCTGTGGGTGTACCTAAGGAGCAGTCCATGGGCCTCATCGAGCATGACTAGCACACGTTTTTCCATTTTTAGTTTTGCTTTTAATGTAAATGCACATGTTGACAGATTGGCTGATTTTACCATGGATGTTGTAGTAGTAGATTGAAGGATTTCCATTATTGTAAGTTTAGTTATATTAGTAAAATTATACCTGCACATTTGAAATTATCAAATAGTTGATTAAAACTTACTTTGAAGCAATCGTCTCCCCTTATCTCACACATCACCCTCCCTGGAGGCACTCAGGTTTGACTATTCTAGCTGATTCTTTTGTATTTATCTCCAAACCTCCAAATAGTTTTTCAGTTTTAGGCTTTTAAATTTTGAATTTCCATTGTGGAAGGCTTTCTTTCACTTCAGTCTCCTCTCCACACACTTCCATCTTCCGACTATTGTTATTCTTTTATTTTGGTTACATCGATATTCATTATGACAATGTAAAGGCTATTCACAGTTTGTCATGTTGTGCACTATGATTATTTTTCCTTTCCTATTCAACTTATTTTCCTGAATTTAAAAATTGTATTTTTGGGATGGGGGTTGGGGGTTTTTAATTTTATTACTTATCCATAGACAAATTTTTCTCCCAATTGTGTAACCTCTCAGTGCATCCAATACATTAGGTATCCTTAAAAAATCCTTCTCTGCCTTCTATCTAAAAAGCCTCTGACTACCTCCAGTCTGCACAGGTTCTCCCCGGCTCTCCCTCATGTGTCCGGGGGTCCCTGTCTCCTGGGACCCAGTTTTTCTTCCTCAGTTTGGTGGGGCATCTCTTTCAGAAGATTCCTGAGAAAGGGCACATGTGGTGGGATGTCTTTCAGATAAATTATTGGGAACAGTTATGATATTGTGAGTATCTGTAGTTTTTATTTTATTCTCACATTTAATTGATAGTTTGATTGGCTATAGAATTATAGATTGAGAATAATTTTCCCTCCAAATTTTGAAGGCAGTTTTATGATTGTTGTTGCACTACTAGAATTAGTTTCGAGGTTTGCTTGAAACCCCACACAGAGTGACTCAGCACTAGATACTCTAGGCTAACGTGGCTCCTGCACTGCAGCGCCTCCTGGGACTGCACCTCCATGGGCACAGCTTCCTACCTGCTGCCACTGAGCCCCCTGTTCTCTCTGCCTGTACGTTTATGTTTAAAATAAAACAAAATTCCTCTGCTTTCATTGTAATGATTTTTTGGGAAAACAGGTAAATTTATATGCTCATTTCTCCATTTTTGTAATTTCTGTAATGTTTTAACTTTAAGCATCAAATTATTTTCCCGTGGTTATTTTAAGCATTTTAAATCACATATTTAGTACAAATAGCCACCTCATAATGTCACTGTGTGTATTTTCCTTAGGAATAAGCCCCCAGAATGTGCCAGAGGAGTTCTGCAAGGTGATTTTTAAGATTTGATGGAGGCAAAGCATGCGTTCTGGAAAACAACCTTTGGGATAAAGAGTTAAATCTTGTTTGACATCACTATAGCCTTTAGATGTTTTCCACTTGTTGTTTCTGATTGTATATTTTAAAAGGCTTTGCTTACCTGGCTCACTATGTATTTTGGTTCTAGTGGTTAACTCTCATCTCTGCTTGCAGGGGTCCCCCAGGCGATTTAAGATCCAGTTTAATTTAGACTCAGTTTGTTAACCCGAGTCTCACCCCGCACCTCCCAATTGTTTACCTCGGCATCGCCTACTGAGCTCCCCATGAAGCTTAATTACTTACTTTATGAACGTCTTTGACAATAACTCAAAATATGAAAATACCATTAGTAAGGGGCTGCTACCATATTTAAAAAACCTTTTATGATACATTTGAGTGTAGTTTCAGTATGCAGCAATCAAATTCATGAAGTTTTATCTGTAAAGATTATGTACAGTGGAAAGCAGTGAAGAACTATCTGGTTTTACAAAGGTACCGTCCAGCCTCTCTCTCTCATGTGATGACAGAAAGAGCTCATTAGTAAAAGACTAGTGAGTTTTCATAGACACAGTATGTAGCAGACTTTTAATTTTATTTTACCGCTTAGTGTGACAGCCCTTGTGTCTGTAAGGATGACTATAGTCCAGCAGGTACTGTTCCTGCCGTCCCTCCCACCTGCCTCCCAAACCTTTTCCTTCGGCCATCTTTACTTATGGGTCAGTGAATGGCACCAAGACTCTTCTTTATAAACCTGAACTTTATCCTCAGTGACACTAAGGTACATACTTTCCTGAATGTTTATTTCTAACCCTAACATGTAGGAGAGAGACCAGGGAGCCCAAGTGGGGACAAGCCTTGGTTCATCCCAGTGCTGATGCCCACACCCAACGCACAGACCCCCGGGCACAAGGTGGCATAGGAGCCTGTTTGCTGTGGAGCACGTGCAAACGGAACTGGCTCTTCCTGGTAAGCTGGGGTGGGGG